CAAACCACTACATCTTGCTGGCCATAAAATCTAATTATTAGCCCCGACTAAATTCGACCCATTGAGCCAATCACATTTATCTATATTTTGACTCACCACTCCTCAACAGGTCTACTTTAGTTGAAACTAGACAATAGGATTCCAGCCCAGGATTGTTACACCCAAGAAAGGGCAGAGAAGGGATTTTATTCAAGTTACACAAGGCAAACACTCCTAATATCAGAACTGTGCTGCTGTTGCGTGGTCGACATTTGACCGAAATCTTTCCCCAAAGACCTATACCTCCCAATTAGATAGCCCAATAGTCACAAGCCACCTTTTGGAATTTGGTGGGATCCCAGTGGTCCAAGAGGATGCCAAATTCCATGTTTGTTCTTGAGATTAGACCTCTCCACTCAACGTCTCCTTCAAGCGACAGCAAATGAAGGGCTGTGTTTATGAGCTTGACCTGATGTTTTCCTGGCTTGCCTCCAGATGCTCTTTGTCTTACAAGCCAAAGAGAGTCATAAGTGTAAATATCCTTGTCAGCTCTATCAAGACATAGGTCAGCTTTTCTCCAATAAAACCAAGCCCCTGCTCCCTTTTGCTTGGCTCTTCTTGGCTTTCCCCTCCTTGCTTTAGCTCAAGCCAATTGGGGAAGATGCACAATAATTCTCATAGGGAGAATCCATCCCATCCATAGGATTCAGATGAGGACATGAAGCTCAGCCTCTCTACAGTGAGTCATACTCCACTGAAGGTCACATAAAACATTCAGCTCAATCCAATTTCATAAACAAATGCTTATTGGGAACAGATCATGTTCTCAAGACCAAAACATTTTGCACTATACAATTACATTGGGCCCTTGGTATCTGCTGGGGTTTGGTGCCAGGACCTCCGTGGATACAAAAATCCAAAGATGGTCAAGTCTCATTAAATACAATGGCATAGTAAAATGGTGTCCTTTATATGAAATGGCAAAATCAAGTACGCTTTTTGGAATCTATATATATTTAAAATATTTTCAAGCTATAGATGCTAGAATCCATGAATAAAAAAATCAGTGGATATGCAAGGATGACAGTATAGCACTGAGTCCACTTTGACTGCCACAACAACATTGCATGGAATCCTGGGGTTTGTAGTCTGAATTAGGGGTTTCAGAAGAAGAATTCTAAATGTGTCTTCTGCAACTACAAATCCGAATATCTTGGATGTTGCCATGGCTGTTAACAGGGAATCATAGCACTATAATTGTTCAGAACTTTATCCCAAGTTGTTCCCTTTTATTGTGTTTATTAACCTGTCCAGCTGGGAACTCAACACTTGCAAAGAACTACAAGTTGATCTAACTTGTAGGGGTGGACAACTTGTAGGGGTGGACAACTATGGAGGTTCATAGGCCAATTTTCTGCCTTTGCAAGCCATGTAGACTTTTCAAAATTTTATAACCGCCATCACCACTGCCACACACACAAGTGGCCAGAAATCCACTTCTGGTTTTGAAAAGCCAGTTGTGGAAGCTGCAAAATAATTCTCCTAAACTATCTCTGTCATTGATGTTTAAAAGGAAAGAAAGTTAAGGGTTCATTGCCCTGGTGGCACAGTAGTTAAATGCTGGTACTGCAGCCACAAGGTTGTGAGTTCAATCCCAGGGCTCCAAGGTTGACTCAGCCTTTCATCCTTTCATATAGTACCCAGCTTATTTGGGTCAATTGGCTTTTACAGTTTAACTGCTTAGAGCAGGGGTAGGCAACCTGCGGCCCGGGGGCCGGATGCGGCCCCATGAGGCCTTTGAACCGGCCCAGGCCGGTCCTGCCCCCCCCCGCCATGATGATATTGATTATTGTTGTTATTACCTGTTCTTGGGGTTTTCTTGGCAAAATCTCCATAGGGGTTTTGCCATCATGGCTTTTCTGGGGCTGAGAGAGTGTGCATGCATATTTTTAAATTTTATTTTATTTTATTTTTATTATTTTTATTATTTTATTATTTTGCTTCGGCCCGCCAATTGTCTGAGGGACAGCAACCCGGCCCCGAGCTCAAAAAGGTTGCCTACCCCTGGCTTAGAGAGTGTTGAGTTTACTATGAGGTGGTATAGAAATGCTAATGCTAAATGCTTGCCTCTCCTGAAGGCTTCTAGGAGAGGCAATAGCTGCACCCTGCCCCCATATTTTTTAGCCAGAAAAAGGGCAGTTCAGGGAATCTAGAGTGGTCAAGGGCCACAAAAACAGCCTTGGGGCCACGTGCAATCTAGCAGATCAGCTCTTCCAAAGGCATCTGAGGAAGCAAACTTAAGTTTACGAAAGCTCATGCTCCCAACTTCTTTCTTTCAGTTACAGCTGGCCCTCCACATTTGCGGCTTCAGCTTTTGCGGCTTTGATTATTTGCGGTTTTGATTAATATGTTCTCTCTAGGAATCTAAGTTCTCCAGCTCCATTCTGCTGGAAGTTGTGCTGGAGAACCTAGAAGTCCCTAAAGAAAACACTTCTCTACAGCATGATTCTATGATCAACCTCTGGGAGATGTTGCATTGGAGGACCTAGATTCCTAGAGAGGTGTTCTAGAGAGGTGTTCTCTTAGGTAAAAAGAAAAGTGGTTTTTTTTTATTTGCAGTTTTTCCACATTCACGGGGGTCCTTCATCCCTGACCCCAGTGAATGTGAAGGGACCACCGTAGTCTCAAAGGTGCTACAAGATCTCTCTACATACTAGCTCTTGCAAAGTTGATCTTGCATCTTTAAATCAGTAAAGAAGTTTCCTTCCAAATAAAGGGAGAGGATGGGACTTAGATGAAATTAATCACTGGAGGGAAGAAAAAAAAAACCCTACAAGTAGATAAGATTGAAAGCTAGTGAGCAGAGATCTTGACCAGGCCTTATGCTGGTAATCAACCATTTGAAAAGAAAACCCTGTCTCCCATCAGGCAGCCCTGACCCAATGACCAGCAGATGACCAACATTCCTGCTTGGAACTGGCTTTCCTGATTCCTTTGCTTCCTACACATGTCTCTGATTAGATTTATTTCCATTTTATGTCTGTATATGTACAACGGTCACTTAGCAACAGTTGAGCTTAGCATATTTGTCTTGGATTCCCACCGGGGCTTTGATTCATCGCGTGGGCGTTGGGGTGATGGTCTCCTCCTTCCTTCCTTCCTTCCTTTCCATTTACAAGATTGCATGAAGCTCAGATATGGGACACTTTAGGTGAGACAACCTGGCTTCTCTGAGTTCCTTTCCTTGGCTCATTCACAATCTTAAGGATGCTGCTTCTTCATCGATTTCTTGCAAGGAGAGGTAACAGGAAGGTCTTGACCCCATGTAGCCTGCCCTGGGAAAAAAAAAATCCCTGACAGTTTGGAGAGAAAGGAGCCACAGAGAGGAATCTGCGTCTCTTGGCTGGATCTGAATCATTCCTTTCTGGCTTATCAGAAATTCCCTGTGCAGCTCCAATTGCTTTCATCCTTCTCCTATAAACAATGTTTGCATAGCAGTGCAAGCACACAAGAGCTGTCCATTCCATTTGAGAAGGAAGCGCACTTAATGTGCTCAGATGTTCCTAGATTGGGAACATAGGAAACAGCTTTGGACTGAGTCAGACCATTGGTCCATCTACCCCAGTCTTGTCCAAAAACAAAACCCTGACTGTAGTTTGAGGCAGGATTTTTGCTTAGCTCTACCTGGGGTCTCTTTACTCTACTACACAATTACAATCATATCATATTCACTGATTATTATTTTTTAATCCACGGATTCAAGCATCCAGGGCTTGAAAATATGCAAAAAATATAGAAATTCCAAAAAGGAAACCTTGATTTTGCCATTTTATATAAAGGACACCATTTTACTATCCATTGTATTTAATAGGATTTGAGCACCCACGGATTTTGGTATCCATAGGGGGGCCTGGAACCAAACGCCAGTGGATACCAAGGGCCCACAGTATAGTGCTATGATTCCACTTTAATTGGCCCATCATCCTGTGGAATTCCGGGATCTATAGTTTGTTGTTATTGTTGTGTGCCTACAAATCATTTCCGACTTATGGCGACCTTAAGGCAAACATGTCATGGGGTGTTCTTGGCAAGATTTGTTCAGAGGAGGGTTGCCTTTGCCTTTCCCTGAGGCTGAGAGCATGTGATTTGCCCAAGGTCACTCAGTGGGTTCCATGGCTAAGCCAGGACTCAAATCTTGGTCTCCAAATTTGCAGTCCAATACTAAAAACACTATTTCACGCTGGCTCCTCCAGGTTCTAATTTCTAACCTGGTTAGAGTTCTATACTTTAAGGATTTTAGATAGGAGCATTTAGCATTCTGGGCCAGAGAGCTCTAGTTTCTTACCAAAATACAAATCTCAGGATCCCAGGGCCGTTAAAGAGAATCACACATCTGTAACTGTGGCTGCTGCTGTCACACTGCTAAATTAATGCAGTTTGATACCACTTTGATTGTTCATGCTAGGAAATCCTGGGATTTGTAATTTGTTGTGGCACCAGAGCTCTCTGACAAAGGAGGGTAAATAGCTCACAAAACTACAGATCCCAGGGTTCAGTAGCATTGATCCATGGCACATAACGTGGTGTCAGACTCCATTAGCGTTTTGTGTGAAAAAGCCCCAGGAGAATCTGAGATTTTTCTCCATACAAAGTATAATTTTGCTTTTTTTGGACTACAGCTCTCCGTGCAAAGTGTTCAAAGTGCAAAAATAGGTTGCACACAATCAGCTCAGTGTTTGAGGGGAGAAAGGAGAGGAGGAATTTTGCCCTACCCAGTAAGCTCAGGCAAAAGCAAACTGCTGCACCCTCTCCTGGTTTATGTCTTCTTCCTCATTACTAACTTTTGCCATCTTGACCACACTCCGATGTTGGTGGTCGTTGTGTGCCTTCAAGCTATTTCCAACTTATGGGAACCCTAAGGCAAACCTATCATAGGGTCTTCTTGGCAAGAAGAGGCTTGCTATTGCCTTCCTTTGCAGCTGAGAGAGTGTGACATGCCCAAGGTCACCCAATAGGTTCTGTGGTGGAGCAGGGACTCGAACCCTAGGCTCCAGAATCCTAATCCCACATACCAAACCACTACACCACGCTATCTCCATCTTGAGATATATATATATATATATATATATATATATATATATATATATATATATATATATATATATATATATATATATATATATAAATTATCACAATAGTCACAGTTTTTCTCTCTGAAATGTTAGCAGGTATGACCTAGCAGAGGGCCCCCTTTCTGGGACATTGATGTCAATGTTTGCAAGCAAAAGAGGATTTTTTATAAACGGTGACAAATCCCTTTCCATCTCAAATGCATGCATCAAATCACTTACTCATGAAAAAAATTTCCCCCCCTTAAAACATTGACAATTGACTTAGGGGAATGTTGGGGATGGGTGGGAGCGCTGTCTCAAATTTTATTTCTGGAAGGCAACAGCTCGGTTAAAGGAAACCGTTCCCCCATCACACACATGAACTTCTCTTAATGTGAGGATCCCTGGCGCATTACCTCAGCAGGAATGACCAAGCATCGAGGCAGGAAATGAAAGCCAAAGTGGTGATGTGATTCCTCCAGGGAGGACAGCCTGAGAAACAAGGAGGCATTGTTCTTTTCGGCTCTCGGAAAAACAAATCAGGGTCTAACGGTGCTCCCACTGAACGCTGCAAAGGGGCTTGGGTTATATGGCTGGGGAAGGAGAGATCAGAAAAGGTTGACTCTAGCATTGCTTAGCCTGCTGCCTTTTCTGAATTGAAAACCATTCGCCTGTTTTAATGTTGCCCAAGAAGATAAGCGCATGCTTGGGACATTTCTGAAAGCGTCACAAAGCGAAATGACTTGAGTGTGCCTGGACAGCATAGGCTCCAAATGTCCAGATTTGGCAGAGACAACCCCAATGACTCCTCTGTCATCCCACTTTTCCAGCTGCTCAGTTTCTTTCTCCTCCTCCGACTTTCCCCCTCGTCCTCGGCTTACTTCAGTTGCTGCAAACTGAGTCCAAAGTGCAAAAAATAGTTTGTCGTCAGGAGTGGAGAGATCTTGCCTTTGCCTGTAGGCTTAGGCAAAAGCTAACTGCTGCAGTTTGTGTGTTCTTCCTCATTACAAACTTTTGCTGTCTTGACCACACTCAGATGTTGCTTGGCCTCATAAGTCCTGTGAAATATTGGAGGCTATGGACTCCATATGCAAATAACAATGCCAGAAGTATCCTTCAGGATCAAAACCAAAGACTTAGAGATGACACCATGTGATGTCTCAAAGGGAATGGTGTCATTAACCATAAAACCTTAAGCATCAATCGCAGAAGCACATTCAAATAAAAAACTCTATGTGAGAGCCAGCATGGTGTTCCGGTCTGAGCATTGGACTATGGATCTGGAGGCCAGAGTTCAAATCCCCACTCCACCATAGAAACCCACTGGATGACCTTGGGCAAGTCACTTCCTCTCAGCCTCAGAGGAAGGCAATAGCAAACCCCCTCTAAGCAAATCTTGCCAAGAAAACTTCATGATAGGTTCACCTTAGGGTTGCCATAAATTAGAAACAACTTAAAAGCACACAACAACATCTAACAAATGAAGAAATGATCCACATGCATACTTTTCAAGATTGTGCTTTCACCCTGAGATTCCTTCCCTTTACCCTGAGGACTGTATTGGGATGCATTTGCCAACCTACACTTCAAGAGAACTGAATTTTAAGTACTCCAATGCAATATCTTTAATATCCTCTTCTTCTTTTTTGCAGCTGGTATGCCCAGTAGCGGATCTCTACATGGTTTTTATGCTGAGATTATCCACTACCTGCTTGTTATTACTTCTAAATAGGCATCAGATGCTCTGAAAGTTTTTTTTCACAGAAGAGCAGAAGAAGAAGAATGGGGCAATACTTTAATAAAATGCTTGTGTTTTCAGTTATTTATTTATTATATGTGCAACCATCTATTTGCCAAAGAAATTCATTGCCCTTAATTATGTTAGGGCTGATTTCATCCTTATTTGTGTGCAGAAAACAGTGGTGGGGTGCCACTTAGATATTTTATGGGGATAGTGCTGCCAGGTCAACATTATTTATCACATATTTATTTATTTAATTTCTAAGTGGGACCCAACGCAGCTTCCAGAGGCAACAAATTAAAAGTATTTCCAATAATATCCTTCGAGGGAGGCAATGGCAAGCCTCTTCGGGAGAAATCTTGTCGAGAAAACCTTACGACAAGTTTCCCATAAGTTGGAGTCGAATTGGAGGCAAATGACAACAACTATTTACCAAGACCTGCTTCTCTTTCCAGGCCTCCCAGACCTTGTACCGGATCCAAATTATGTCCAGGCTTCAACTTACGTCCAACGGGCTCATCTCTATTCCCTCCGTTGCGCTGCAGAAGAAAAGTGCCTTGCAAGGTAATGGTCATCCTTCTTTTTCTCCCTTTACTCAGGCTTAGGCTGCATTTGCACTGCAGAATTAATGCAATGTGACACTGCTTTAACTGCCATATGTCTATGGTATGACATTCTGGCATTTGTAGTTTTGTGAGAGATTTAGCCTTCTCTGTCAGAGAGATCTGGGGCCACAGCAAACTACAGATCCCAGGATTCCATAGGATGGAGCCAGGACAGTTAAACGGGTGTCAAACTGCATTAATTCTGCAGCGTGGCTGTTTTAACTTGTTTTCACTCATACTAAATTGTCTGGCTTTTAATGGATAAATTATTTAATGTAGTTTTAATCTTTTAAAATGATTGTTATTCTTTATTGTTTTGAAAAGGTTTGAGATCTCAGCCCTGAGATCCTCACAGATAGGGCCAGATCTCAATATTTTAATACAATACAATACAATACAATAAATTATTCAGCTGAGAAATGAAGAGAAAACTGCATTAATTCTACAGTGTGGCCACAGCCTTATCCTGTCATGGAAGGCATAGTTTTTCCTCCTTGACCAAAGCTGGGTCTTGTCGCCTTGACCTTCTGTCTCCTTATTCATGCTCACTATGTGATTTTGGATTTTTTTTATATATATATAAATATAAATGGATTTTGGGTAATATAGAAGGCAAAAGCAGGAATTAATTGGACAACATACTATGGTGAAGTCATAGGCTTTCATGGTTGGTATCCATAGTTTTTTGTGGGTTTTTCGGGCTGTGTGGCCATGTTCTAGAAGAGTTCCTTTCTGATGTTTCGCCAGCATCTGTGGCTGGCATTTTCAGAGAAAGTATCAATACTGTAATGCTGAAGATGCCAGCCACAGATGCTGGTGAAACATCAGAAAGGAACTCTTCTAGAACATCTCCACACAGCCTGAAAAACCCACAAAAAATATACTATGGTGATATAGACATCCTATATAATATATGGACAACATATATTGTGTAGAAGCAATTTTAAAGCAGAATTGAGAATTTATATAATGTAATTAAGTGTTATAATTAACAAAATTGATCTAAGAAGTATAGGATCAAAGAAAGTTTTTTAGATTAGAGGGTTTGCACTTAGAATGGACGCTTTCCCAGTTTTCCTATTCTTGTGATGTACTTTTATGTTCGTCCAGCACTGCCTATACCCCTGAAGCCACAGACTATGATGTCCGGGTGCTCTTGCGTTTCCCCCAGCGAGTGAAGAACCAAGGAACAGCAGATTTCCTGCCCAATCGGGCCCGCCATACCTGGGAGTGGCACAGCTGCCATCAGTGAGTACCAGGGAATTTATGGGATTTTTGGGTTGGCAGAAAGTGGCACTGAAAGGGATTGGACATAACCAGGCTTCCCTGTATCCCATCGTTTCTTGATCTCTTTCCCGACACACAGAGTGCTGGCTCTTGCCCATGGGGATGAGTAGGAGACAGACCTGGAAAGCTTAGAAAAGTTAGCTTTGGGGGCTTGAACCTCTAGAATTCCCCAGCTCCCAAAACAGTGGTGTATACCCTCCAGTATTTTACAGTTTTAAATTGGAGAGCATATCGCCAAGAGTGCTGGCTCTTTCCCATGGGGATTAGTAGGACACAGAATCTGAAAGCTTAGAAAAGTTAGCTTTGGGGGCTTGAACCTCTAGAATTCCCCAACTCCCAAAACAGTGGTGTATACCCTCCAGTATTTTACAGTTTTAAACCGGAAAGCGTATCGCCAAGCAACATTAGAGCGTGGTCAAGATAGCAAAGGTTACTAATGAGAAAGAGCACACAAACTAGGAGAGGCTGCAACAGTTTGCTATTTAAATTTTTGTTAAAAAAAATCATTTATAAATTTTTAAAAAAATTTAAAACCATCACATATTGACTTTTTTTTTTTACTTTAACCATAAGAAACGATGTACATGTAAATATATTTAAGCTGTGAGTTGTAATTAAAAGGTTAAAATGTGAACGTTGCGAGTGGTTCACGTCACAACTATTGCCATTACATTCACTGATATATGGAAATTATTAAGGTTCTATATGGTGTGATATGAGAAGAAATCAATAGAGTGGGATGACACCATGAGTTAGTGTACCAGGTGATGCCAATCCTAGTGACACCACTGAGGGCATGACTCTGGACTGTGGCTTCCTTGATGGAGTCAACACATCTCTAATACAGCCTTCCTCTTTTCCTGTTGCCTTCCACTTTTTTCAGCATGATTGCCTCTTCTGATAAGTTATGTTCTCTCACACTGAGTCCAAAGTATGATAGCCTCAGCTTAATCTCAGCTTCTTGCAAAAGTCTAGCTGAAAAAAATGGGAAGGGACAGAGGATTAATCTGGATTGTCTCTGACAATTCAGGACCGTTGGAGGTCATGATGGTGGCTGACGGTTTCCATAAGCTCCTTTACAATGTGGTCCAAAACCTGGCATGGATTCCCTGCCCCACTGACATGGCCACCAGCTGTCATTATTGTGGAGCAGATGAAGCACCACAGTAAGGAACAATTAAGGTGGCACAGTGGTTAAATCCCAGTAGTGCTGCCACAACGTTGTAAATTCAATCCTATAGAAGGGCTCCAAGGTCCACTCAGCCTTCCATCCCTTTGTAGGTTGGTAAAATGAGTCCCCAGCTTGTTGGGGGCAATTGGCTAACACATTGTAAACCGCTTAGAGAGTAC